GCCGCCGCGCCCGCGGCGGCCTGGGGCCATTCTGCGTGGAAAGGCACATCATGACCAAGGAGGTGGGCCTGCCCGCGCCGTGGCCATGCGCGGCAATTGTCAGCCAGCTTCTTCGACTGCTGCCGAAAGTCCGCCTGTGACCCCGCAGCCAGGCTGGTCACCCGGCTCGCAGCTCTGCGAACCCAGCGCCAGGGCGGTTGCCCGGCCAACATTTCAGCGAAGCCAGCCGACAACCCGGCCTGCCTTTCCCCGGCCCAGATGGGTACCCGCCCGCGAGGCGGCCGATGGTCCCCGCGCGGCCGGCATCCGGCCCCTCAGCCTGGCATGCCCGCATTTTGGCCAGTAGCCCGGCCGGACATTCCGCGAATTTGGTTGGTAGGACGGCCGAACATATTTCGAATTTTGGCGGGGAGTTTCTGCGTTCACGGCGGCCTTGGGCCGTCATTCTTTGGGTAAACGACGCGCGCGCGAGGAGCGGGGCCGCTGTTCCTGCGGCGACCTCGGGCATTTCTGACGCGCGGTGCGCGAGGGGCACGCCGCCGCCCGCGATGCAAGCCGCGCGCGCGGCGCCTGCCTTGAGCCATTATGCGCTGGAGAACGCAATGTGCGCGAAAGTGATGGCAGCCGCGCGCGCGGCGTCCTTGGACAACGCTTTGCGGGAAACCCATTCTGCGCGACGGGCAGGGCTGCCGCGCGCGGCGGCCCTGGGCCATCGTTCGCGGGGGGCACAGTACGCATGCGCGAGGGGCAAGGCTGCCGCGCGCGCGTCGGCCCTGGGCCACTTAACGTGGGAATGCGCGCTATGCGCAAGGGGCAAGGCCGCCGCGCGCGGCGGCCCGAGGCTTCTCTGCGTGAGGAATCACTTCATGTGCGAGAGGCAAGGCCGCCGCGCGCGCGGCGGCCCTCGGCCAAGACCGCCGCGGGCGCGGCTGCCTTGGACCACGTGCTTTGGACAACACCATGTGCGCGGGGGCCCGGCCCGTCCTGCCACGTGGAAAATCACTCTGTGCGCGAGGGCCATGGCCGCGACGCGCGCGCGGTGGCTCTGGCCCACTCCGCGCGGGAGAAGGCGCTACGCGCGAGGTACAAAGGGCGCCGCCCGCGCGCGCGGAGGCCTTAGGTGTCCTTCGCCCATTCTGCGCGGGAAAACACACGCCGCGAGGCAAACTGGCCGGCCGCGAGTCGGCATCTCAGCCAGTAGCCCCCCGCCCGCAGTGGCTCCGCGAGCCTGACCAGCACGCCCCAGGGCGAACTCCGCGAACCCGGCGCAAAGAGGACGCGATGGGCAGTGCCGCCGTTCAGGCATGTCTTTTGTATTGTGCGGGATGAGTGCGGTTGCCGCGCGCGTTGCTGTCCTGGGCCAGTCTTTTTGCGTGGGAAGGCGAACTGCGCGCGAAGGGCCCAGGCCGCCGCGCGCGCGGCGGCCCTGTGCCATTCCGCGCAGGAGAAGTCAACGCGCGCGAAAAGCACGGCAGCCGCGCGCGCAGCCCCCCTGGGCCACTCTGCATGGGAAGACACATTCTGCGTGAGAATGCTTATTGATTGTGGGCCCACACCTTGTGGCCGTCGACGGCCCTGAGCCATTCTGAGTGGGAAAGCGCATTGCGCGCGACAAGCAGGGCCGCCGCGCGCGCGCCGCGGCACTGAGCCTCTTTTGTAATAAAGCACATTGTTCGCGAGGGGCCAGGCTGCCGCGCGCGCGCGGCGGCCCGGGGCCTTCGTGCCTGGAAGGGTTCATTATGCGCGTGAGGCAGGGCCGCCGCGCGAGTTTGCCCTAAGCTCTTGTATAGGATTGCACAAGTTTGCGTGAGGTGCAGGGCCTCCGCGCGCGCGCGGCGGCCCTGGATCATGTTGTGCATTGAGACGCAGAGTCTGCGCAAGGGGCGGGGAGGCCGCGCGTGCGGTGGCCTTGAGCGTCCGTGCGTAGGAAAACACATCGTGCGCGAGGGGCAAGGCCGCCGCTCGCGTGGCGGCTCTTGGCCATTCTGTTCGGGAGCAGATTGCGCTGGCGCGAGGGGCAGGGCCGTTGTACAATGTGCGCGCTAGGGGCAAGGCCGCCGCGTGCGCGGTGGTCATGAGCTTCTCTGGGTAGGAAAGCACAGTTGCGCGCGAGGGGCAATGCCGCCGCGAGCGCGGCGATCCTCGGCCATTCTGTGTTGAAGAGCATATCATGCGCGTGGGGCGGGGCCGCCGCGCGCGGCAGCCCTCAGCCCGCTTGTGTAGGAAAGCACTCTGTGCGGGAGGGCCGTTCTGTGGTGGGAACCACATTACGCCCGACGGGTAGGGCTGCCGCACGCGCGGATGCACTGAGCCCCTTTGCGTGGGTGAGCACATTGCGCGCGAGTGGCAAGGCCGCCGCGCGCCCGGCGGCCCTGGGCCACCCCTGGGCAGCAAACGCGGCATAGGCGGGGGGCAGGGCCGCCGCGCGCGCGGCGGGCTTGAGCCTTGTTATGTAGGAATTCACAATGTACGCGAAGGGCAAAGTCTCCGCGCGCGCGGCGGCCCGTGGCGATACAGCGCGGGGGGAAAAATATCCCGGCAAAGCAACCTAACAGCGATGTGTAGGAGCATATCTGGAAGCATTCCCCTTAAGATTCAGATGAGAATCCTGTTGTAGAATTCTGCTGTTCTCGCAGTCGTAGTCGCATTCGCGATGGCAGTCGCAGTGGCAACGGCAGTCGCAGTCACAGCCTCAGCCTCAGCCTGCCTCAGCCTCAGCCTCAGCCTGCCTCAGCCTCAGCCTGCCTTAGCCTCAGCCTCAGCCTGCTTCAGCCTCAGCCTCAGTCTGCCTTCAGCCTCGGCCTCAGCCTCAGCCTGCCTCAGCCTCAGCCTGCATCAGCCTCAGCCTCAGCCTCAGCCTGCCTCAGCATCAGCCTGCCTCAGCCTCAGCCTCAGCCTGCCTCTGCCTCAGCCTCAGCCTGCTTCAGCCTCAGCCTCAGTCTGCCGTCGGCCTCGGCCTCAGCCTGCCTCAGCCTCAGCCTGCATCAGCCTCAGCCTCAGCCTCAGCCTGCCTCAGCATCGGCCTGCCTCAGCCTCAGCCTCAGCCTCAGCCTGCCTCAGCCTCAGCCTCAGCCTGCTCAGCCTCAGCCTCAGTCTGCCTTCAGCTCGGCCTCGCATCAGCCTCAGCATCAGCCTCGCCTCAGCCTCAGCCTCAGCCTGCCTCAGCCTCAGCCTCAGCCTGCCTCGCCTCAGCCAGCCTCCTCAGCCGCAGCCTGCTTCAGCCTCAGCCTCAGCCGTGCCTCAGCCTCAGCCTCAGCCTGCTTCAGGCATCAGCCTCAGTCTGCCTCAGCCTCGGACTCACCCCAGACTGCCGCAGCCTCAGCCTGCATCAGCCTCAGGCTCAGCCTCAGACTGCATCAGCATCAGCCTGCCCTCCACCCTCAGCCCCTCAGCCTGCCTCCAGCATCAGCCTCAGCCTAAGCCTGCTTAGCCTCAAACATCAGTCTGTCCTTCAGCCTCGGCTCAAGCCTCCGCTGCATCTAGCCTCAGCCTGCCTCAGCCTCAGCTCAGCCTGCTTCAGCCTCAGCCTCAGTCTGCCTTCAGCCTCGGCCTCAGCCTCAGCCTGCCTCAG